ACCATATCGCCTCAGTTTTCTGAGGCGCCACTCTCAGACTCAGCTCATGAATCTTTCCCACGACATAAGCCACCCCATGCTCGGCGAGCCGAAGCACCTCATCGAAGTGTGACCCTCTAGCCAGTATGAAAGTGGCAGGCACTAAAACCAGAGGGCAGACTGGTGCGAAGGACCACATCATATGCGAGGTTCCACAACAAAGGGCCTAAAACAGAGCCCTGGGGAACCCCGCAACATACCTCTCTCCGATTTTCCACCCCGCCCCGACTGATAAACTTCACTGTCCTATCGCGCAGATAGGCACCAATGACGGCCCGCTGGTAGAGCGGCACCTCATGAAATTCAAGGGCCGCCCTTATCGCCTGCCAGGGGAGGGTGCCGAACGCGTTGATGATATCAAGGCTAACCGCCAACGCCCCCCCCCCCCCTGATCGGACTGCCGACTCCGACATGGAGTGCGACAGCGTCCACTGTCGAACGACCCGTCGGAATCCAAACTGGCAGTCCGACAGATCAGGGCCTACTCGCGACAGATGCCCGCTGATACGATCGGAGATCTTAAAGAGTTTCCCCGACTCGTTCAGCAGGCATATCGGTCGGAAGGGAGAATCTGCAGTCCTTCCTTCCTTTTTCAAGAGCACCAGTCTCGCTTCTTTCCAGCCGAGGGGGAAGATACCGAGGCTTAGACAATCTGTGAAAATTCGCCTCAGTTTGTCCCCCAGTACCGACAGAGCTATCAACAGGACCTGGAACACCGTCAGGTCCGGGCGCAGTGTTGCGAGAATCCAGCCACCGCACGACTCGGTCCAACTCTCCCTCCGTCACCTCCCACTCTTCGGACCAGAGTTGTCGGTCCGATTGTAACGGAGGGATTAAGGGACTGTCCTGGACCCTTGGGAAGAGCGTGTCTACCACTCTTCCCAGGAACTCCGGGTCCAAGGTTTCCGTCAATGGAGGGACCCATGGTTTTAGCTTGCCCAGTACAATTTTGCATCGGCGCCCCCATGGGTCCCTATCCAGTCCCCCGATTAGTTATTTCCAGGACCGAGCCTTTTCCTCAGCGATTGCATCGCTGAGAGCCTTTACAGCAGCGCCATATTCCCGGTCTACTACGTCGTACTGCTACGTCGATCTCCTCGGCTCTCTTCTGCCTCGAAGATACGGGCGGCGCAATCTCGCGACCGTCATTCTCAGCTGCGAGATCTCCACGCTCCACCAGTACGCCGAGCCCTTCCTGGCTGGCCTGACTCGGGGCATTGAGGCATCACATACGGACGCACTAATGTTCCCAAACCAGGCCGCCTGTTCTTCTGGATCGGACGAAACCCTTTCCTCCAACCAATCCGCCACGTGGGATGCGTCGTCGTCGTCGTCGCGGAGGTTCTCTATCCTGGCGTGGGCGGTCAGCGCTGCGGAGAGACACATCGAATACGATGTGCCGGTGGTCAGGTCATCCCGACACCATGTACACTGCAGAGGGAGTCGCCCTTGACAGGTCGACAATAGACTCCCCCTGCCATCGCACACAGGGGCTAACTGAGCCCCGATTTAGAAGTCAGAGATCCAGTCCAGCCGCTCACTCCAGGATAGTCCCCTCCTCGCATCGTCCCGAGTGGCACCTCTCTCCTTTGTATGGGCGTTGAAGTGGGCAGGACGAATATCGGACGGGAGGCGTAGCTGCGAATGCAGATTGCCAACCCGTGCAGGTATGCCTCATATTCGGCTAGGCCACGATTGGGAGAGAAGTAACACCCCACCACCACTGTTACCCCCCACTCCACTGCCACGAAGCCAGCACCCTTTCTTAGGTGAGAGCAATGGAAGCCTTCCCCACCCGGCCAATAAATGGCAGCTGAGCCATAGACCGCCCCGAACCACCGAACCAACCCGAATGGTCCGGGACAGTATAGGTCTCTGCAATGACTGCCATAGCAACCGACTGCTCCGCGAGCGTCTGGATCAATAGATACTGCGCTGCGCTGCAGTGGTTGAGATTGCACTGGAGAATCCTTGCGTGTGGTGGGAGTGTTAAGCATCCAAAGCCTCTCCACTCGACACTGGCTGTCCCGATTTTGCAAAGGCGGGGCGAGGCCGGACCTCTTCCCCTTTTGCTTCTTCGGTGAGCACACTGGACACCTCGGTGCGTTCGCTGCGCAGTTTCGGGCCTTATGGCCCAATTCTCCGCAGCGAAAGCAGAGCCCACTCCTGTCAGGGTGACCTGAGCATTTTACCCTGACGTGTCCCATTTCAAGGTACTGGTAACATTGCAAGCGCCGCGGTGCCAACGCTTCGGTACGGACCGACGCCCAGCCCACCTGCACGCGTTGGGCGGCCGCAGCTTGGCGTACTGCTGTATGTGGGCCACGGACCCAAACCGTTCCCAATCGGGCTGCGGTTCTGCGTATCTCCCCGACTTTGATGTCGAACGGGGAGCAGCCACCCGCTGCGGCTATTGCCTCCGCAATCTCGATGGCGGTGAATAATTTGTATAACTCCATCACCCGCATTTCGGCCGTCTTGCACGGACGCATAAGTCGCGCATCTGTGTCGCCCATGACCGCGCGCCAGCGCCAGTGAAAGCGGCGGCATTGGTGGGGGTCGCCGTAATTGCGTCTTCTTTGGCTTCGAGACAGGAGTAGCAACCGCACCCTGTCTCGCAGCGGTAGCCTTTTTTGCTCCCAACAACTTGGGCCCAGAGGCCCCTTTCCTGCCTTGCCTCTGGTTCCGGCAGGATAGACCTTCCAAGACTGGGAGCCTGCCTCGTTACCGGAGTCAGTAGCTGCCCCGCCAGCCCTTTCACTTCCTTTTTCTTCTTTTTTCTCTGTCTGCAGTGTCTGCAGCAGCCGACTGCCGCGCCACTGGAGTCCGTCCTTGGCCTAGAGGGGGTCTGGCACCTCTCTCTGGGAAGAACCTGAAGCCTGGACTGAAATCGGGCAAGCTCACGGTTCATGATTGCCGCGATTTCTTCCCAGTCCGGGTGATCCTCCCTTGCCGGGCGGGCCGGCAAGTGGCACCGGCGAGCCATTTTTCAGACCCACTTGCGCCATTGAAGAAGGCAGCAGGATTGTTCCCGCCACCTTTGTGGCTGACGATCACCGCAGTATCGCCGAAGATGGTTCGTTCTCCTGTTGGAGATACCTCACCCGGTCCGCCAGCGACGATGATGACGCCTGGTTCTGCACGGACGCCTCCTCGTACTCGCGTGTCACCGCTCTGTTGCAGAGCTCCTTAACGCCGTCCCGCAGAGTCTGCAGGGCCCGACCAATGGAGCTCATTACCTCCGCCTTCGTGCTGCGGGGTCTATCCAATGTCTATCGCTCTCTCCGCCTCGATCACCTCCATCAAGCGGCAACGGAGTGGAGGGTCAAGAGAAAGGTGTTTTTAATTAACGCGACCGCAACCGTCGTTGTGGAGAACCTGTGGAGGTCGGCCGGTATCCGCAGGTTTTAACGACTTTGCTGTCGGGTATTATAGACTGCCCTTGTCATGGGTCGGCCAATTGAGGCAAGCCCTCCAGCCAACAGGTTCTCAGCGTACCCTCCTGGAGCCACCAGTTTGGTCGTTGCTGAACCCCTGTTGGTTACGAAATGCGAGAAGGTGGCTAACCCTCCCTCACCGGCGGCCGTACTGGTGCTTGTCAGCCCCTGCGTTAGCATGGATTCCATACGGATCCCACCTGTTATTTGTCGGCTGCCAATACCCACCCCTGAAAGGGAAGTTATTGACCGTCGCCCAGGATGCACCGGCCCCCTGCTTCCATTCCCCCTGGACCCAGTGGTCATGAGGGACAAGAAACACGGTGACGCACGTGGAGGTTACCCGACCCGCACCCCAGGTTCAAGGCTTCCTAGGAAATGTTAACCATTTTATGTCAATGAAAATAAATTTTCATTTAAGCAAAGTTTATTTCGTGTTATTTTTTAAGCTCCAGCACCAGCAATATCTATGGTATATTTTAAACATCTAAGACTCGCAAAGGCACCAAATTATATATATTTTTATTAAATCTAATAAAAAACAAACTATCTAAAAAATGAAGTTTTCTAATGTTTTGTAATGTTATATCTTGTTAAAAGTATGTGGAGAAATGCCTAACGTCTCTAATCAAAACAAACAAAATAAGTCAATACAATACCCTACATATTTTATGATACCGTTTGAAGTATTCTGTATTCCAATATTGTTTCTTAGAATGAATATGTTATTCATTACATTTTTTGTATTATCAGAAATATATCATCAGACCAGATGGTTCTATCTTATCAAATAAAACTTAGTGTGCAAACAATCTTTGATAACAGTAATGAATCGTATTTTATGGCGACTAAATTTTTATTTTAAACTAATTCTATATACAAATACAACTAAAAGAGCATAACACAATAAATAACGTATACTAAAAGGAAAATTTTGGATTTCTGTATTATCTTTATTTGGGAATGTGGACTAGACATTGGGCCCGGGAGAGAAAGCTCACGTCATACACGCAAATAGTTGGGCATCCCCTAAATACGTACGTAAATAAACCATATATAACCATGTATCTTGAAATAAACTCAACATCTAACACAATAGTTTTTATCCTAACAGAACTCTATTTCTAACTAGCTGTACCCTGGAAAGCTAAATAAATAAATAATGGTTGCAAAAGTAGAAATAAGAAACAAAATTGAAGCGAAAAATAGACAAGAGTTTTGAGTTTTTGAAGCGTACACAAACCAACTTAACATTTATATATGTGTTACTGTAAAAGCCCGAACTGCGGTAAATCCTAAGATTTACCGGTAAAACTTGATATTTTCATTTAATTTCATTCAGTCAAATAAAACCTCTATTTTATAGGGAAAGGCATATCAGCTAGAACCAAGTCCTTCCCAAATCAAATCAATAAAAGAGGTGTAATGCGCCTCCTGTTACTCAGATTTCCTAGCCACATGCCACACCATAGTAAGATATTTACTTAGATGTATTACTTTGAAATAAAATACCTTTCAGAATCGATGGTGAAATGCAAAGTTAGAACTAGAGTAAGTTGCTAACGTTTTATAAAAGATTAGTTATAACAGTGCCTGCAGTACAATCAGGGACATATTTGCGTATCTGTTTTCATTTCATTTATCTGTAAGTGGTTCCGCTTACTCATAACAAAACATCGATAAAGCAACTGTGTACCTATCATGTTTTGTGTTAAGGTATTATCCGAATTCGTTGATAACAACGTACATTTATCGATAAATAGTCAATGCTATCAGACAGTTGTTATTCATCGTTGATATCACAACCCGTGAACAAGTGAAGAATCAATAATTTTCTTTGTGAAAACTAGCATAAAGGACACGGTAAGCATATCAATATAAGTTTTGTTACATTCAGTGATTCTAATCATAAACTGCGTGTAAACTTTTCTTGTTTATGAACAACGCTAAAGCTCGTTAATAGCCTACTGAACAAAAGAAGATAGAAAGATTTTAAAGTTACTGAACTATTTTATCTTTACCTATTTATAAATGTACATAAAGATTTCATACTAAATATTCCGTCCTGAGGTAGTTTTCCTAAAAGAACATAATATATATGTAATTATACTGAGTGTATGAGTCACGTTGGGACAACATAACAAAAATACGTTTGACTGGATAACAATAAAATATTCTGTTCTTTGTGTTTAAACTAGTAATGTTTTAAAAGAGATTTCTCACGGGAGACCTGATAGGCTCAATATTCATAAGCAGAAAATTATTTCTGAGTGTACTTTACATTTATATTTCTTAATAGACTAACTTACTCACTTAAAAACCAATGCTCACCGCCTCTTTTATTAAGTGAGCCATGTTTTCAACTTTTATTTTTATCTTGTTGTAGTGATGTCGCCACCGGCATCAAGATGTGGTCCTTATTGTGGAACAGGCGTGTGCCCACCCCACTGCCCCTACCATGGCTGCACACCGCCACCGCCACCGCCGATACATCACCACCCTCCTCCACCGCATCATCACTATCCACCACCGCATCATCACTACCCACCCAATCATCACTATCCTCATCCACCGCCACCAAACTATCCACCACACCATCATCACAACCACCCTCCGGGAGCCATACCCAGAGAATGGTTGCGATAAAATAAAGGACAAAACATAATAAAAGCTTGTAAATATATAATATTTGTGAGACATTCAAAACAAATAATATATACATTGTATATATATTCTAACAGAAAATAAATAGATTTACACATTTATATTATTGAAGTCCTAAATAAATACCATATTTAAACCATGCTTAAGACTTTAACAACTGTGATGAAACAATTATTTTACCTAGTCTAGATGTTGTCAATTACGACATTCAAAGTAAATAAAGATACCTACCTCAACTCTCTATTCAGGTGGCCACTATAGTCACGACTGGCACGCGAACCAGGCTTCTTTAAGCTTCTGTAGTCACGGCCCCGGTTCTCCATCACCTTTCCATTTTCCTTAACCCGATTTATCTTCATACTGAAAAATATTATATTTCTGAGGAAGGTTGGCGTCTGGCAGGGGACCAGCTAACAAGCAGAAAGAAGGAAGATATTATTAGTAACCTTAACTGCCTACCAAGTCAATGGTCAATTCAACTACCTCAAACAAAGAAGAAAATGATAATCCTGTGAGGTTTATGTAAGAATATAATAAAAATGGTTTTTAATACAGATATATATTTGTTTTTTTATAGACTAAAACACAGTTTATGATTAATTTATTAAGGCATTTTTACGTTTTTGACGAATTCCACATGCAGTGAAACAAAACATATTTCAGTGACATTCTAACGAAGACACACCGAACTGTGGAGTAACTACTAATCCTGTATCGCGATATGAACAGAAGGCCAATTCTCGTAATAAAAGTTTGGTCTCGATTCAGTTCCGATCAACTCTCGATCTCACAACTCTCATAAAAGGTATTTTCGTAGTAAAGTATTAAACATTCAACGTTGGCTGTAATGTGATTTTATCGTGTTGTAACCGAAAATTGAATGGGTAATCTGCTAGTCTTAGTAATACTTTACTATTTTGCTACGAAAATACCTTTTATGACAGTTGCGAGATCGAGAGTTGATCGGAACTCAATTTTGACGGAACTTTTAGAATTGGCCTTTATTTCTTAAGCCCATTAACATATCCGCCAGCCAGGATCACCTCGCCTCCCCTTTGTGCTGGACGGACATGATACGTTTTTCTACACGTGTTATTAACAAAGTAAAAACCCTGGTCCCATAAACGGAAGGAAAAGTCTTTCCTTTATAACCTTTGAGGGAGATACTCTTATTCTCTTCACTCATCTTAAGGTTCCCGTAAAAAAATCCAGTTACATTCACGCAATGTTTTGATAATCACAACGATAAGAGTTATGTGTCAAACTTGCTTGCATGTCTGAGCGCTGTGCTTCTCGTAACTACTTGTTGCGACTTCCACATACGGTGAAACAGAAACATACTACAGAGACATCTAACGAAGAAACACCGAACTGTGGAGTAACTAATAATAATGATTGTATATCATGAAAGGTGTAAGTTTCAAAGTTAATTTTTATTTATTTCGTATTCGTATAAAATCATAATTCGCAAAAACAAGTACAACAACCAACACCAGCTTGACTTAAACCTTAAACTTTTTGTTTAAAAACTTTTTTATTAATTATATGATTCTGAGAGTTCTCTATTACATTTCAAGAAATTCGAACGCTACTAGTAACGACTCTTCAAAATTTGTAAGGGCAAAATTGCCTACACAAAATTAATTCATTTTCGATTCAAATTAATTAAAGAAGTTTATATTGGATTAGAAACTCACTTGATCTAGATTTTTTATTTTGAACAAAGTTGGTAATATTGCTGGGTAGTATCGCTTTCTCCCAACACGCCAGCACAATCTAACACATCTGGTGTACGTAATCCTGTTATGAAGAAAAACTTTCTTAATAAGTGCACGGTTTGGTTTCTTATTTCCTCTATGATCCTGGAAATGAACAATATAATAATTGCTGGTGTTTCCTTCTTCCGTACTCTTAATAATATTATGTTTAAAACACAGCGATAGTGCGTAAACAATTATTACCAGTAAGAGTTTCAAATAAGAAGTTCTTAATATTTTTCCTAAAGAATATTTTCATCTAACAGGCAGGTCCACACTGTCCCCGAACGAGCGCGGCAGACCCGGATTCATTGCGAGGTTGCAGCAGTAGCCTGAGTCATTTGTTCGTTCGGTTAGCTGAGAGTGAAGACATAATGATGCCACACGTACGCGTTGCGGGCGCAGCTGTTGCTTATAAATAAGATTAGGAAAAAAGAAAAGACAAAAAAAACCAAAGACAATATTGGATAGAGAGAAAAAAAAACATCATTGACAATCAAAATATATGCAATGCAAACCGTATATATATTATTGTATACACATGGCCAAGGATCTCATTAATATCAAACTTAAAAAAATACAATCGATCCAACCGCGTGCTACGCACTTGGCTCGCAACGTGCGTACCTTCAATTGTGTTGAGGTATATGCTAGACACGAAGAGAACCAGACAAACAAAGCACCATTATTTATTTTTTTCAATAATGGAATGAATTATCATAAAAGCGGCAGCGGCTAAGTGTTATGATTATTATGGATCGATCTAGCATGCGCTGAACGACTCGAATAGGTTCGTTTTATCAGCCTAGGTATGCGTCGTGCGCCATGCGCAGCACAAGCCACATACATACGCTTTGATCGTGGAGCGTTTACTGACATACGCTGGCTCGCCCTTACTCTTGCGAAGCATGCGATGAACGGTGGTTCACTGCACATGCCTCGCAATGTCTGTATCCGCCATAATGTGGTATACTAGTTTGCTTTACGTTTTTTTGATAATTAAAAAAGTTTGTATGTTCTAATAATTAGTATTGGAACAAACTATATTTTTGTATGCTATTAATACCGGTCTTACATAATGGCAATTAAAACATAACAAGAGCTTTTCGCTTCCACGTGTTAAATTCGAAAAGTTGAGTGGGAGGTAGCACTTACACCACTTCATCTGTTGCTGCATACTTCAGGTACTAAATTAAGGACATGTTTTTAATTTTTGAACCCCTGTATGTGTGGGAAAATATATTTTTTCGTTTGCAAAGTTGGGAATATTTAATATTGACTATATCTCATTTTTGAGTTTCAGTATTCTGCTAAACGCTAAAAAAAATGGAACCCCTGTAAGAAAATTGCAATGCCGTCGGCTGTCTTCCTAAAATGGCCTAAGTGAAATATAGAAAGAAACATACGTACCTCTTAGTCTTCTATATACCCAAATATATTTTCATACAAAATCTTACAATATATAGACAAGTCGTAAGAAAAACACTTACACAAAACTTCATCCAGAGATATAACTGTTTTCTAACCTAGCACAAAATAATATTTTAACATTTCACATTGATCCGCTCATCTATACTATCCGATAATTGACGGTTTGTACATCTCACTCTGCAGGATCACTTTTAAATTGTACAAAATGGATTCCCTCATCTTGAAATTTAGAAAAATTTTACGGTTTTTACATTTTTGAAAAATTATCATTAATCATCATCATCAACAACAGCCTTTATTAGTCCACTGCTAGACATAGGCCTCTTCTTGCATAAATTACTAGCGATCCACCCCCGCTTCGCACGGGTGCAAAGTAAATACTACTAATACTAATAATTTGGTGTCAGTTTAGAGGAATTAATTTTACTATTAATTTGATAGGACTATACTACTGGACATCTTTATATGCAATATTTATAGGCCGGCTTCGCTGCCACCCGGGACGGACGTGCGGCCCGACGCGACGCGGCGACTCGGCGACGGCCACTTTGCCGGTTGCCCCGCATTTTAAACCTCTAATATCTTCCAAAATATTCATTTTAATGATATGCTAAAAAGAGCAATTTCAACCTACATTAAATGCACAACGTATATAACGTATTAAATTGGATAAGGAATAACAATGTACTGTTTAAAATAGCTTCGTGAATAACCCATTATTTTTTTGTAATATTTTAAAGATTAAAATGGTTATTATGGGCTATCCTTAGCAGACAGACATATACCATTACAGACTTTATGTAGGTCTTTTGAAGATATACAATTCCATAGTACAGTATTTTGGTCTATCTCGTAAGGATTAGTCAGCGGTTGCAATGTAAGCGAGCAAAACCATGTTTCCTACGATAAATCTTTGAAATTCTCGGATTTTTCTACTATAATATGCATGTATTATAAATGTAAACCTTCGTCTTGAATCACTTTCTCTATTGGTGAAAACCCTATTATAATCCGTAGCTTAGTTTAAAAGATCTAAGCGTACAACACTAAAAAGCGACTTTATTTTATACTATGTAAAGATGTTTGTACTCCTCCAAATAAATAATTATATTTGTTGCTAAAGGGTAATCGGATACTGTTTAATAATCATATACCACGTCAATGGTATGATATTTATTATGCTTTTTGTAGCACTTATTTAAATCTTTACATAGTATAACATAAAGTCTCTTTTTTTTCTTGTACGCTTAGATCTTCTAAACTAAGCAACTGATTTTGAGAGTGATTCAAGAGGAAGGCTTATATGTATAAATATACATGTATATACATGCATATTATAGTTTAGAAAATGCGATAATTTCAAAGATTTGTCGTAAAAAACATGGTTTTAGCCGCTTACATTGCAAACGCTGGCTAATTCTTATGAGATAGATCAAAATAATGTACTACGGCAATATATTTCTTAAAATGATCTATCTACACAGAAGTTCGCGGTGGTATATGGTGGTCTCTCTTCTAAGGAATACCCACAGTAACAATTTCCACCTTTTCAATATTACAAAAAAAATTATGGGTTATTTACGAAGCTATTTTAAACCATAAATTATTATGCTTTATCCAATCAAATACGTTAGATACGTTGTATGTTGTTGCATTTAATGGAGATTAATATTGCTCTTTACAGCATTTTATTAAAATCAATATTTTAGAAGATTTTAGAGGTTTAAAATGTGGGGAGAAGCGGCAGACGCCGCTTCGAGCCGTACGTCCGTCGCGGATGGCAGCGACCGGCAG